GGTGGTTATAAGTATAAGCAAATTGTGCCTATCATGGGGTAGGCACTATTTGATGGTCAACTGTAATTTTATACACAGAGAACAAGTTCAAATAATTGCCACCAGAAAGTCCTTCTCTATTTCTGATTTGCTCCTCATATGATTAAAATGTGTATAAGAGAAACTTTAAAAAGCTTTGAACGAGCTGGGCTTGGTGGCTCAGCCTGTAATCCCGCACCTTTGGGAGACTGAGGTGAGTGGACTGCCTGAGCCTGCGGGTTCGAGACCCACCTGGACAACTTGGCGAGATCTCATCTCTACAATAAAAATCAAAAAATTAGCCAGGCGTGGTAGAGCACGCCTGTAGTTCCAGTTACTTAGAAGGCTGGGGCAGAAGGCTCGCCAGAGCCCAGCGGGTCGAGGCTGCGGTGGCCAGGAGCGGCCACTGCACTCCAGTCTGGGCGACAGAGTGAGACTCCAACTCAAAAAAAAAAAAAAGCTTTGAAGGAGTTGGAAACAAATAAAGCCACCATATGAAGGTAATCATGAAATTTATAAAATAACCTCAAACACTTTAAGAAAGGTAGAAAAGCTGAGCTAAATTATGTATTTGTAACAGCTATCAAATTTTAATACTAAAAATTTCAAAGTGCCTTTGATGACCAAAGTCCACATACCTATGGGGCTCTTTGGAAGCTAATGGTGAGACCTGCTGCCAGGTGGCTTATTCTCATTCTAAAGAGTGCCAGGGACATGGGGGGATTTCAGCATCCAAATTCATATGAAAGAGTATAGCAATGAATCTCTTCAGATCTTCAGGGGACTGTTTTGGCTCAAGGTTGGTCTATCACCTAAGAAAATAAAACCAGGTATAACTAGAGGCCTTAACAAAGTCAAGGCAAATTGTCTTCTTTATGTCCTGATTTCTAACAAAAGAGATAAAGTTAGGCATGTGGAAACACTTTATTTTAAAGACATAAGAAACAGGAAGCCAGGTTCGAGACCCGCCGGGGCAGGCGAGACCTCATCTCTACAATAAATCAAAAAATTAGCCAGGCGTAGTAGCGCGCACCTGTAATCCTGGCTACTTGGAAAGCTGAGGAGGAAGGATCGCCAGAGCCCAGCAGGTCGAGGCTGCGGTGGCCGGGAGCGGCCACTGCACTCCAGTCTGGGTGACAGAGTAAGACTCCAACTCAAAAAAAAAAAAATAACACTTGGTTCATGGTTCTGTTTCTTAGGATTTTTGTAGTATTTCCTTCCTGTGTTATTCTCCTGCTGGGTACATTACCCAAATAGATGGTAAGTTTTTCAGTGTCTTGAGGAGTTCCTTGTGTGTTGGGGGCCTTACCCAACTGACAGGTGCTTAACTGGTGACAAAGATAAGGAAGGAGCTCTTATTTTATAGATGGGGACCTCACTATGTTGCCCAGACTGGTCTTGACCTCCTGGGCTCAAGCAATCATTCCACCATAGCCTCCCAAAGTGTTGGGTGGTTGGAGATCTTTTAATAACCTAGAAGGAAACATATCAGCAATGGCCCTTTTCCTTCCCATCAGGGATCTCTAAGCTTCCAGCATTTCAGACACTTTCATAGGAACCACCATGATTAGGGGAATGTAGCTTCAAGTTATAAAGCAAGACAGATGAGTTGAAAAATAATTTTGAGGAACATGACCTATCAGTAAAATGCAGGAAAATGGTAAGTTGACTTAAGTTACTTTCGGTAACAACTTAAAAGAAATATTAGGCGTCTTAAAAAAAATTATTGAAGACGGATTGCAAAATAAAAACACAAATAGACAATCCTCATATTCTTGGTTGAAAGAGACAGTGCTTTTTATCTTCTTATTTTAAGATAAAATGATTAATTCAAGCTGGGCTTGGTGGCTCAGCCTGTAATCCCGCGCCTTTGGGAGGCTGAGGTGAGTGGATGGCCTGAGCCCGCGGGTTCATGAGTGACCCGCCTGGGCAACTTGGCGAGACCTCATCTCTACAATAAATCAAAAATCAGCCGGGCGTGGTAGCGCATGCCTGTAATTCCGGCTACTCGGAAGGCTGAGGCGGAAGGATCGCCGGAGCCCAGCAGGTTGAGGCTGCGGTGGCCGGAAGCGGCCACTGCACTCTAGTCTGGGCAACAGAGAGTGAGACTCCAACTCAAAACAAACAAACAAAAACGTTAATTCAGTCCAATTCCAATTGAGGTCGTTTGAAAGTTTTATTCAAAAATTATATTTAGCCGGGCTCAGTGGCTCAGCCTGTAATCCCGTGCCTTTGGGAGGCTGAGGTGAGTGGATTGCCTGAGCCCGTGGGTTCGAGACCTGCTTGGGCAGCGAGACCTCATCTCTACAATAAAATCAAAAAAATCAGCCGGGCGTCTTAGCGCATGCCTGTAATTCCGGCTACTCAGAAGGCTGAGGCGGAAGGATCGCTGGCGCCCAGCAGGCGAGGCTGTGGTGACCGGGAGCGGCCACTGCACTCCAGTCTGGACGACAGAGTGAGACTCCAACTCAAAAAAAAAAAAAAAATTATACTCACGCATAAGCAGACTTTGAACACTTATCATAATATTATAAGAAAGGAATTGGCAGTGGTGGGAAACTGCCAGAGGAGGTGGGTGGGATTGCCAGTTGAGGGAAACTGCAAAGGTACCTGCATAATGAACATTTGTATACCTAATCCTGGATTGTACCCTACATCTTTAAAATTAAAAATTTTTTAAATTATCCTCTAAGATTTAAAAGACAAAATTAAAGTCATAACTATCCACGTTACAGATCCAAAAGCTAACTTAATGGAAAACTGTAGTTTACAGTAAATATAAATAAGTTGCCCATATCCTATAAGACTAGGGGAATGTTTGACAGGAAGAAACCCACAATACATGTGTGTTGAATTAATGAATAGATGAATATATTTGGATTTGTTGTGCTACCCTTTCTTTCTCCTTTTTTATTAAGCCAAGTTGCTAACCCTTACAGGTTTTTCTATAAATACCTTCTAAAGAGAACAAAGATAACTGGCATTAAAAAGCAACTTATAATTTTACAGCTTATGATCCTTACTCAATATATCATGAAATTGATTGGACTTGGATCACTTCAGTGAATCCTAAGGAATTTTTTTTCTATATAATTTAAAACCATAGACCACATAGAATATCTTAACAACATATGGCCAAGTGTATGTGATCATCTGAGGAGAATAATTCAGTTTCATAAAAAAATGCAAATTTAACAGTAGTGCATTAATTCATGCCAACCCTGCTCTCAAGACAAGCACAAGGGACCTCCCACATGAAATCAATATGCATACATCTATTTAGCTTTTATCACTGGCCCACTAAGTAAATATCACGCTACAGACCACGGAGGTATTCATTATTCAGGCAAATAGCAAACGTAAAAAGCAGGCTGGTCGTGTCACATCTTTAACAAGTCAATCAATAACTGCTCCCTATTTTAGTCTTCCAAATGAGGGCCAGGATGTGCAGCATCTGGTAAGCAAACTGTTAATCTGCTGCCAAGGTGTAGTCTGTGAACGACAGAGGATTCCATGTTTATGCTGACTCTAAGGAAACTTCTCAAGGAAACCTTAAATTGCATTCTATCTTCTCAGGTTTTAAGAAGCATTAAGACAGATCTGCCCTTTGAGACCATTCCATGGACACCAAAAGGTCCAGGACACCCAACGACCGTACTGGGAGATGCCCTCTTTTGCATCCCACAGGGTCTAAGACTGAGGCAGAAGTCAAACATATCTGAGTGCATCACATGATGAGAAGCAAATGAATGGTTCAATCTTCAAAATTCTCCTTTCAAGATTTGTAAAGCAAGATTTTTAGCATTTTATAGGGACCTCATATATTCATAAGCAGTTAATTCTCCCAAAAGAGGCCAAGAATGGCCCCAGTTTTTGCAAAGAACTCACATTTTTTCTTTAAGTGTGAGCCTGGTTTAATGCCACACGCATGGTGCCAAGCCCCTGAGAATGTCATCTTTTGTACATCCATTTCAGAATGATCACTACTCTCGTCTGTCTCAGGATACAGAGCACCAATATATGGCACTATGTCTGAAGTCACTTACACATCTTGTCAGCTAAAAGACAGTGAAAATGAAAAGGAAGTTCAGCCACTAGAATTAAGTTGAGCTTCATAGCTGCTTCCTCAATTCACACCACATGATAAAAACCACTGTCTACAAAGTGTCAGCAATGACCCAGCAGAGCTCAGGAAGCATTGCCCTTTTTTTTTTTCTTCTCCACCATTCCAAAATCCAACAGCAAGAGACTCAACCCAAAGCCATAAAAATTTGCCTGTTAATTATGATGATGAGAGCTGAAGGCACTCAGGTTGTGACAGATCAAATGTTCTCACCATCAGCAAGAGGAAAAAAAGACTCCTTCTGACCTCTTAACACGCATCTGTGACATGGTTAATGGGAAGAACATGACTATTTGTTGTCTAACATAGGAGTTAACGTTGGCACGCACGCACAACTCTGCTGGAAGCAAGTCATGCTGAGTTTTAAATGAACCTGCACTGCATTTACTTACCCTCCTGTCTCATTTCCTGAGTGGAAGGTTTAATTAATACTTCAACCAGAAACAATCCACACAAGAAATAGATTCACTGGGAGTAAAAGTCATAACCACAGTTTTCTGGTGGCATTTTCCTTCTCTTCGATGGAAATCTCACCCCCCTTCTTTCTTTCCCAGGGACGAATGGGGAGCCGATAATCCACAAAGAACAAGACAAAAGTTGGAAAACCTCCTCTCATTACCTCTTTTTCCTTCTTCATCTAAGATGCTTAGTGCACACTTTAATTCCAGAGCACAGATTAGAGCAGGCCCTTGCTACCCGAGCAAACTGTACTATGTCACACCCATCATATTCCTTTCTACCACATTAACAGTCAGGATGCTAGAAACAAGTTGCAACACGTGTGGTCAGCCCCACCCCCAGCCCTCCGACAGAAACCACACCCCACTTCCCATAACCCATGTTCTTCCCCAGACCTTACCCTGCCCAAGAGGTTGTCCTGTAGTAGCGTCTGTTGCAGCACCGGGGCCACCTCCTCCAAGCTCAGCATGTGGCAAAGGTCAGTGAGTTCCTCCTGTCCGAGGGACCCCGTGCCCGTCGTGTCAAAACTGTCAAACAGCTCCTTGAGGCGGGCTTCATGCTGGTCCTGCTCCACCTCATCCATCCCATAGCCCACAGCGCTCACCTGTGCAGGACAGAGACAAGGACGGGTCATGGCAGCCCCTCCAGTCAGATCACACTGGGGGTAATGTTACCAGAATGAGGGGGTCACGCAGGCAGGACGACACCCTCCTCTCCTACCCGGTCCTCAGGCAGATGGCTGGACTGCCAAACTCAAGGCTGAAAGCAGTTCTCTTTCTATCAGTTCTTCTGGTCCACTTTTGACAGCAAGACGATTCACAGGAACTAATTGTGAGCACCCATAAAATGCATGGCCAGAACTTCCATGCAAGTCAGCAAGCTCTAGACAGCCTGCCCAGATGCTGCAGTCAGCTGGCGTAGCCAAACTGATGGGTGCGACATCGTTCAGCCTAGACACTCCCCATCGTCCTTAGAGCGGAGCTGTAGCGAGAGGTGCTGGATGAACATGAAGTCTGCTGCAAAACCACTCCCTGTTTACATGAGACCAACTGCCTTTCACACAAGCTCCTCTAAAAGCACCTCAATTCGCTTCATGGATGCAATCACACAAGGTGTGCCAGGAAGAGTATTCCCTGAAGCTCACTTTAGTCCCAGGGAGTTTTAGGCAATGCTTTGTTGCCTAGGGAAAGGGGAAAACACTATTCCAGCCTTTGAGACAGTGAGGTTTGGAGGAGCTATGCCCTGGCTTATGGGAATCGTTCAGCACCTCAGGGCACCTCCACTGTCTAGGGCGTCTCATCTCTTTATGCCTGGTTAGCCTGTCTTCCAGCTCACTGACATCCGGCCCCATACCTCAAGATTTCCATTTTGTCACTATCCTTAAGATCAGTAAAATCTCAGAGACATTAATAACTGAGTCGTTTAAAAAAAATCCATCATAAAATTCCAGATACCTTGTATTTTATGAATGAAATCTGTTTTTTTCCCTTTGCTCAATGATTCATGTCTAATGTGCCAGATCTTCTGATGAAAGCCTGAAACCTACCCCGTCTGGAGGTACCTTTACCATGATGCAATGGGTGCAAACACGACATGTACCCTTGAGACGATGACCTCATTCATCTGCAACAAGTCTCGAAGAAAAAGCCCCTGACTATAAAAAACGGCAGCTTTCAGTAACCAAGCCAAGAGAGAGAAAACTTTTAGTTAGAAAACTCTCTAACCCAGAGGTGTGTTCCATGGAGCAGATCATTACAACAATGGGAAACTCGTAAACTAAGATATTGTATACAGCCAGAACTGAAAATAAAAGAGTTTTCTAGAACATAGCAGGGCGGTACTAGGTTATGTTTGCTTTCTTTCCACAGACAGTTGTTCAAAACGTGACAAGCTAGAATTGAGCCAGCATCTTCCCGAGGGTTTCAGCAGAACTAGGTGGACTCTGAAAATAAATGTGAACAGCTCGTCACACAGCACACTTTTTACTGGGGCCACCCATTAAAGCAACATGGCACAGTTTGGGTCCAGGTCCTAGTATTGGATGGTCTCTTCTCCTAATTACCAGGTTTTCTATTACTAAGGTGCTTCGGGTTCTGGCTGACTTCCCAGGGTTAGTCTGCTGGGTTAACAAAACACTATGTAAATGTTTTCAAAATAAGTCGAGAGCGCTATATAAACATCCAAGCACCAGGCAAGAAACACCACGTTGTTATGCAAAGCAACAAGAATTAAAAATGTAGATAAAGCCGCAGCTTGGCTAATGTGAGATTCACTTAAAATCCACCAGTTAATTGTCAACCAAGATCAACTGAGAATCGCTAAGACGTGCTGGGATTTTCATTGTTGCCATGGCTCTGAGACACACCCTGAGTTTCACAGTTCCCTGAGCTGTAATCTGATTAACTTCATAAAAGCCAGACCGTTCTGCTTTTGCTTGATTTTGCAGATTTGTTTAAGAACTCAACCGTGAAAGAATTCTTACATTTCCCTTTTAAAAAATTTTATTTGTTTGTTTGAGACAAGGTCTCACTGTTGCCCAAGCTGGTCTTGAGCTCCTGGGCTCAAGCAATCCTCCTGCCTCAGCCTCCCAGAGTGCTGAGATTACAGGTGTGAGCCACCATACCCAGCATAAAAATTATTTTAAGGGGCAGGGATTTGTCCATCCAAACCAATGAAAGAGAAACACACAACATACGGAGAAGTCCCGATCTTATTTGCTGCTTTGAATTTGAAAAAGTACCATGCCCCACTCTTTGGGAAGTCACCGGGTTTTCACTGAATCAAACCTCTTTCATTTTATAGCAGTTTTCCTTAAAAAAAAAAAAAAGAAAGAAAACAAGAAAAAGAAAAGTCTTTATTTCATCTCCCTCCTTCCCAAACACCAGGCTTTAGGAAAACCTTCTTCTGACTTCAGTAGGAGGGGAAGCCCCGCCCTTGTGGAACGAATGCTCATGGAAACATCCAGGAGATGTTACACGTGATGACAAGCTGTCAGTACTCATCTGGCACAGAACGCGTTTTTTACTGGTTGATCTTATTCCCCAAATGTTCATCAGTAATTTCATGTGAAAGAATTTTTTTTTTCTTCCCCACTTGGCAGATATTTCTCTAAGGGTAAGATCCACACCTTCTATTTCTTTGATATCTTCCACCAAATGCATGGTACAGTCTGTTTTTCATAATAGGACTCAGTAAAGACCAGGGACTGACTTAGCATACGGATACTCTGTGAGAGAAACTGACCCTGAAGGAGGGTTACAGAAATGGGCATGCGGACATTGTGAAAGGCTTAATTCTTCCACATACACACCTCCACTTCCCCCATTCTGTCCTTTCTCAAAGACATTTTCAGTCTCACATATAAGCCAGCAGACGTAGTCACAGAATTCCAACACTGACTGCCAAATTGTACTATGCTGTGTGACATTTAATTCAACGGGCTAGTCATGAAGCCAGTGGTCGCACAAACTTCAGCTGAATTATTCTGTCATGGGACGAAACTTTGGAGGAGGAGTTTGTGTTAGACACTTCTTCAAGTGGATGACAGCGTGAAGACAGCAATACCCATCTGGAAGGGTTGTTCTGAGGGTTCAGAGTTGCTAATCCCAGAGAGAGCTGATACAGGAGGGTGATTGAGAAAACAACCAAGAGAAGACCTGCAACTTACAAAAGAGGGGTAAACTGGAGAGGGGGCAAAGTAAACAAATCAATCAGCCACAGATCTACCTTCGAAGCAGCAGAGCAGGAGATGAGGAATGCCACAAAACAGACGGTGAGGGACCGGGACAGGGAATGTACTGTGTAGATAAGCATCATTATATCACTAAATGAGAATAGCAGCAGGAGATGTTCAGAATTTCCATCTTGAAAGGCAGATTACTGATAAATTTAAGGTTACATAAAATCAGAAAGGCTGAAATGTAATTAGGAATTCAGAGGATATAATTTTTTTTTAACTTCTGAGTATTTACTATGAGTCTTGCCTAAACAAGTACTCTATGGATATCATCTAACTTAATCCAATTCTTAGAAACAGATATCATCATTTTCCATCCAGGACGTAGAAACTGGGGGTTGGCAAAATTAAGCAACTTCTCCAAGGATACAGCACTAATATTGGAGGTGGATTTGAACTCTAGTGTGATTTTAATTATATTATCCCTCAATCCTGCACACGCATATAGAATATATGAGTGGGACCTCTGAAAGATACCATCAGCAAACCCCTTACCTCCGCCTTTATGTGCTGGCCAGCCGAAGAGTGCTGAGTATCAGAAACTGCCACAAAAACGCTCCTTGGCCACAAACTTTTCCAAACTGGAATCAGGAGACGTGGTGTTCCTTCCTCCCTACCTTCCTTGATCCACTCATTGAACCCTTACAGCCTACAAGGCACTAGGGAAACACGGAATATGTTTTCTCTTTTTCTTCAAAGCAGCTTTGGGATTTAGGGTGTGGAAGAAAGAAATTTTTTTATATATAAAAATGACCTTGAGGAGTCCTTTATCTTCAGTAACAGGTATTGCCCAGAAATTGATAATTGTTAAATTACTTCCCAAAATAAATATGTAAGGATGTGCAATCTGTACAATCCAATGTTTTTCAAACTCAAGCCCTAACTAGTATCCAGTGGCAGGAACCTTACTCAGAGATTAAGAATGTTTGGTTTTACCCAGGCTCGGTGGCTCAGCCTGTAATCCCGCACTTTGGGAGACTGAGGTGAGTGGATTGCCTGAGCCCATGGGTTTGAGACCCACCTGGGCAACTTGGCGAGAACTCATTTCTGCAATAAATCAAAAAATCAGCCGGGCGTGGTAGCGCGCGCGTGTAGTTCCAGCTACTTGGAAGGCTGAGACAGAAGGATCGCCGGAGCCTGGTTAGGTCGAGGCTGCGGTGGCTGGGAGCGGCCACAGCACTCCACTCTGGGTGACAGAGTGAGACTCCAACTCAGGGAAAAAAAAAAAAGAATGTTTGGTTTTGTATATGGACTTCACAGCAACTTGGATGAACTTAGAGTCTATGATACTCAGTGATCTATCATAGAAACAAAGAACAGAGTTCCACATGTTCTCACTCACAAGCTGACCCTGAACATCTACCATAACACTGTAAGAAAGGTATTGGCAGTAGCGGGACACTGCCTGGGTGGGGGTGGGGACACAACATTACCTGATCTCAAACCAGGCAAAGTGAGGACCAAAGGGAGGCCCAAACTTTGTACGATGTCCATTTGTATACCTAATCCTGAATTGTACCCCACATCTTTAAAAAAAGTTTGGTTTTGAGTGAGTGATTCTTCGAATTGCAAAAAAGAGCTCCAGTTTTATGAAGCCTGCCATAAACCTGGGCCTCCCCTCACCATCCACCTTCCCAATCAAGTCATTAGGGAGGTTTTACGACTACTTCAGAATAGAAGGGCCAGTGTGGGTTACATTCTGGAGTTCTAACTAGGGATGGTTATATAAGAGGCAGATGCACAGGGCCACTAATCAAAACATTTACCACCCAATCACCACACATAATGAGAACTATTTGGAGGATTTTTCCTTCCAAATAACTCAAAACAAGGCTGCCAAAATGCTGCGGACCCTGACTGCAGTGCCCATTTCCCCAGCTGACGACATCCCAGTGCCAAATGGGACTGCAAAAGAGGTGGGTGGAGGTGTGGCTGGAATCATGAGTAGGTGCGTGAGTTTATGGACTTTCCGGTGCCCAGTCAAGGTACCCAAAGGAGCTTGGAAGAATGTGCCCCAGCCAAAAGGGACGTCTGTTCTGGGCTGGAGGGAGTGAAAAGGGGACAATGTCTGGCAAGTGAAAACCAAATAATCAACATGCACAATGCCAGAGCCCCCAGTCCAGGCCTTTTATTTCCCCTCCAGATGGTCCAGCAGCTGAACAGCTCTGCGGAATGTCTGCATGCCCCTCCGCTGTCCTTGAGAGGGCATCATAATAGATGCTTTCGGACCTGTGTGCAGACATAGCTGTTGGGGGTCCGCAGCCCAGGCAGTGGCCACCAAGCGACTCATTTAGTTACTTTACAGTTGAAGCAATGAACACCAACACACTCCGCTCTGGCAAACCTCTCTATTCACACCATCCGCCTTCACTGCTTGGCAAGTCCCAGCCTAATAATGCCAATGATAGAATTAAAGTGTTTCTTTTTCGTCTCTCTTTTCTGCAAAGACTTTAATCCACTGCAAAGATTTTCAGGCTTACCATATTGGGCTAATTTCAGTAGAAAAGAAAAGAGTGACAAGAATAGATTTAAGTTTAGCAAAAGCTCAACAGAAAAAGCAGTGGCTGCCATTTACGAGTTTTTATAGGAAAATACGTCTGCCAAGAACTACTGAGGCTCAGCAGAAAGCCATCACTGTCTGACGGCCTCCTTTCTGCTCAGATAGCACCTTGCTTCTAGCTGGATACCAAAAGCAACACAGTAACCATTTGCATAAAATTGTGGTATACAAAATAACAAAAAAGCTTAAATGCCATTGCACAGGGAGAAAAAGTCGCAGTAAATACATTTGAAAGGAAATAACAACCTCTAATGACACTATAAAATTTACTTTAGGGGTATCCTACTACCATTTATTCTGAAATGGACACAAGCTTTGGTGTTTTACTATCCTGAAGGATGTAGAAAACCCATGCTTTTGTTAAGCCTAATAGCAGGTGGATTACCCAATCAAGTGTTATCTCGGGGTAACTGGAAAAAGAAGAAGAAAAAAAACCCATTAGCCTAGCACAATGTGCATTCAATAACCTGCAATCAACTACTAAGTAAAATTTTAAAAGCAGATAACAGACCTGCATGTTTGTTGCTTTTTTTTTTTCTTTTTCATAGAAAGCTTATAATAACTTTTACTTCCTGAGCCATATCCACTCAAATTATTTTAGGGTACCTGAAGCCATGAGTACAGTGCCCTAGGGATGTAAGTGAAGCATGTTTCCTTCTCACATCTGCAAACAATATTTTTCCAACTTTGTTTTTTAAGTAGGCATCAGGGTACAGATAGATGCTTTGTAAGTTTTCCATCCAAAAGCTTGAATATATAGTATACTGCTGATAAAGACTGCAATAAAGAAGCATCCTAATTTCAAACAAACTTGCTCACTTTCGTAGTTTCATGATCTTTTCAAAATTCGATTTCATCTGTAACTAGGACAAACATATCTTTAGTAAGCTTTAGTAAGTCTCTCCGCAAGCCCCTACCCAACAGATGCAAGTTCAATAGCCAGAATGCAACCCACATTATTTACTGGCTTCCATATGAACAGCCATCTATAAAAATACATCTTCTGAAAAGGTTCTACACAGTTTGAGTCCCTCTAAACTGCTCTGGCTAAACCTGTCAACCCTTTATCAGTATAAGACTGATAAAACGTATTTTCATTATCAACATAAAATGGAAGCATCAAGATTAGCAAAATGTTAGTTGACAAAGTCATTTGCAGTGACATTTAAAACAATTTACTTGAACATTTCACTCATGATAAGAATACTGCCTATTAAATTAAGATTGGCTGTTCAGAACTCATGAGAGGCCTTTTCTCCCCAACTGTGACAGTTAACGTCTTCTGATATTAAGGGTCATTACATATCTAAAATGAAAAAGAAATAAGAAAAAAGAAACCCACACCATTCGGAACCAGTGCCTATTAAAATGACTGATCCTTGACATTTTAATGTGAAGACTGTGCTTATGAAAGCTTTCTCTCCATTGCCTCCCATAAAGCCACTCCCCGGGTTGGCAGTATCTTTGCTGATATCCGACCCACTTGGAACACTGGTAAGTCCCACTCATTATCTCCACTGCAGTTCAGAGCGCTTGCCTCTAAAGAATCGCCAGAGAGGCCGGGCTCGGTGGCTCAGTCTGTAATCCCAGCGCTTTGGGAGGCCGAGGTGAGTTAACTGCCTGAACCTGCGGGTTCGAGACCAGCCTGGGCAATTTGGCGAGACCTCGTCTCTACAATAAATCAAAAACTAGCCGAGTGTGGTAGCGCGCACCTGTAGTTCCAGCTACTTGGAAGGTTGAGGCCGAAGGATCACCTGAACCCAGCAGGTAGAGGCTGCAGTGACCGGGAATGTGCCACTGCACTCCAGTCTGGGCGACAGAGTGAGACTACAACTCAAAAAAAAAAAAAAAAAAAAAAAATCGCCAGCGAACAGGTGAAAATAAGCAAATCTGCAAACAAACTCCCAGGCAGCTCACCACACCTCCCCGAGGACATTGGCAACAGCTGAAGAGAACACAGCACACAGTTTTTCAGCCAGCCTGTAATGTTACTCCTAGACACACTGAAAAGGTTCACAGTTCCCTTCAACTCCAGAGCAAGGCCTGCCAATATCCCAGGCCAGCCACCTAGCTAACAGGCTCACCACCAGAAAAGACTCAACATAGGACCAAGCTGACCGAAACTATAAATTTCTTCCAGAAGGTCAAGCCTCGGGAAGCATGCACACAGATTAAAGGCACGTCACCTTATTCACAGGAACCCAACTGAGAAATGGTCAAGGGGGCTTCACTCCGTGCCGGGATGGACTTTATCAGGACTCTCATCCTACAAAGCTGCCACGCCCGTCACAAAAAAACGAAGCGGTCTGTTTTGATGTAGTTCATTCAGCTGTGTGGTACCCGCGAGCCCATCTCAGGAATCCCTCCAGGAGAGGGTCTGTTCCAGCTAAGTGAAGGAAGCGGTAGATCTCACAACATCCAGGCTGCCTAGAAACATGCTCTGGGGGTAGGACCAGCTCCCATGCGATCTGCACCTTGAGCCCGGATTGTTGGGGCCGGGGCTAAGAAAAAACGCCCGTCTCTCTCTCTCTACCTCTTCTGATTGCACAGGAAGAGCTTGGGGAAGCGACTGAGCCCGTCCTGGGGTCCTGTGGCCAGGGGCCGCCTGCTAGCGACAGAAGCCCAGCCCCCGGGGGGCTTCCTTCCCCGACCCCCCAGCTCCCATCCTGCAGGTCTGGCGATCAGGGCTTTGAGGCAACAACCGAATGTCATTTTGTCCTTCCCAAGTAATGACACGCGGGAGGGGGGAAGTCTGTCTGCAGGCATGGACCCCACACCCCTAAAGCCCTACTTCAGGGACGCCCAACAGCTCTCCGCCACCCAGACAGGACGGACGGGATCAGGCAGCCCCGGCGGGCCCCTCGGTGTTCCCACCGGCTCTTTCGTGGGCATCTCGGCCGCAAGGCTGTCTGGGCGGCACGAGCCCCCAGCACAGCCACCCGTCCTGCTCTCTGCGGGTCTCAAGTGCGCTCCG